TGCAGTAGCAACGACACATGCACTTGTGACTGCAACACCGTAGCTCAAGACCGTTGCATTGGGGTCAGCGACAACGACAACTACACAGATTGCGAAGCTTGCAAGCGTGACCAGTTCGACCAGTGCTATTCCACCTGTAAGAACGACTGCAACAACAGCTGCAAGAAGAAAGGGTGCCGCCATGCCTAGGAATAACATGTAACCGATCGGTTTCCTTCCATAGGAATAACATGGCTCGTTGTAGTCGTGTGTAGATTTTTGTAAACGCCACGACCTGGTTTTGTGGGATAGCACATGAGGAACGGGTCGTGGCGCATCACCTCTGGCGTTTTAGCTGAGGATTTGTTTCCTGTTTATCTTTGCTGAATAATGAATCACGGTGCGAAATGATGGTGTGTGTTGATTGGCTTGTATATATCAGCTTCTCCATCGAAGTACGTATTTGTTTGTGTCGTTGTAGTATATATCCAATAGTATTGGAAAGTGATGTGCGCCTTCGCCGCCGTGCCGTTTATTCTCTTTCCTTGTTGAGGGAACTGTCATGTTATGCATAAATCACCTTCTACTGATGGTTAGAATGCTTGTAACCTCACATTCGTAGAACCGTTTTTTCTACTAAAGTCAACGCCTGTATGGATTAGCCACCTCAACACTATGTGTGCTTGTATTCGAACATCCTGGACATCTTTAGCCATGTGTACTCTCTTTACTTGTACTCCCTTTTTTCTTGGGTGGATACTTGTACTCGGTGGTGACCCCACAGTTCTTTTCGAAAAGAGCCGGAAAACACTGTTCATCGTGAAGAAAAAAATAACAGCAACTACGTATGACCCCACAGATTATTGGGGCTGGCTCCACCTCTGCTTATAATAAAAATTACAACTATGTTAGTGGACCACCTAGCGACGACTACAAGCACTGGAGCGAGCCGAAGGCGCGCCGCCGTCATAAGACCTCCCTTACCGGAGCCGGCAAACCTTGTTGTAATAGATGCAGGCTGAATATTTTTTTTCTTTTGCATTTTTGGCTAGGAAAGTTGATTTCAGATTTCATATTTGTTTGGGTTGGAAGTTGAGATATTTGGTGTTAAAAGTATGGTTTGTTGGCATATGTGATAGATTTAGTTGAATGTTGGGTGCCAATGTAATTGAAAAGTGCAATATTTTGGTTGGAAATTATTGCATTTTAAAGTTGAGACCTTGGTTTTTGAAGTTGGAAATCTCACACTGTAAGTTTGATCTTATTCGTAGCTATATACTACGTGTATATGAGCTTATGTATTCTATCCTGCTGGTTCCAGAGAGCCTGAATCTGACTAATGGGACTAACGAAATGTTGTACGGAGATCTTCCCTTTTTGAGTGTTTTTTTTAAGGAAGACGACCAAATGTCGCACCATTTCCTATAATTTCTGTTGCGCTAAGAGAAGCTTCTGAATGAAAAGGGCTTTCCAGTTGCCATGTGAGCATGTTCACTGTTGCAAGAACTTTAACACCCTGAATTTGACGGGCAAATGAGTGATCCCTCGATTTAAATTTTTGAGCTAAAAAAGAAACCACTGACTTGCTTTCAGCAAAGTCAGCAAGAACATCATAGCCTGTGCAGCAAATTTAGTGTGTAAAGACTGAATCTAAAAGGCATTTTTTTTCAAGTTTATGTGCATTTTTTATACAATAGAGGACGACTCCTGGCCTCTAAGTTCTCACACAAAATAATTTACCATCAATCTACAGAATACTACTCACAGATTGCCTTCTCCAACCATATATAACTCTAAACTGAAGTTACTAAAGTCAGAAAAGAAGGGGTGCTGTAAGAAGGGAATCTCTTTCACATGCAGATTGAGCAGGTCAAGTCCAAACTAACTAATGTTAGTTCATGCATCCAAGAGGTAGCAGCAGTCAAATACTTGACTTGCATGTTAGTACGAATCTTTTCTACTCTTGATTAGGTGTGTGATTTCACACACCCGTTGGATGCATGATGCACTTGAAATTCCTTCGTCCCCAAAATATCATGTCACATGATCGAACCTATGAATCACAAGGATTGATGCTCACAGACAAAACGATGCAGTGAACGCCGCGTCTTGCCTATGTGCACCCCTATTGGCACTTAACAACTAAATGGCCATCCTAAGAGAAAGTAATGCTATACAAGATTGACGTACGTAAATCAAGATGGAAAATAGAAAGAAGGGTATCAATATCTTCCACATGCGACTTTGGCTAGAGAAGACCAAATCAAAGCCAATTCATGCAACCTGGAGGGTACAAGCAGTTAATGTGGGATTCAGTTGGTTTCCCCGCCGATCTTGATCTTGCCAGAAGTCAATGCTTGGTAAAACAACTACTTTTTCTTAAGAGTCAATTACACCACCGGTGCTAAAACTTGGCACGAAAAATCACTTTAGTGCCAAAACTTGCGGCATACATTGAACCGGTACTACAACTTGGCTTTAACATGCATATACGGTGCAAATGGTGGTTGTATACGGACAAAGTGCCGACTTGACACGCCACATGGTGAGAGGCCCACTGTGTCAACGAGTTGATTTGGCGTGTGGCCTGTTATTTTGGGGAAAACCAATGAGAATTTTTTTCAGCATAAAATGCCCTGATGCGTGTCGGTCCGTCTGTCAGCGATCAAATTATTATGTGCAATCCCGCCCCCCTCCCCCCGGGCCCCCCGCATAAAAGGCCCTGATGCGCAGCGTGAATGACCAACTGCCTAGCTAATGCAAAAGAAGCTGTTTTTGATCAACCAGCAAACTTACGCTGTTTATCCTTGGTCTACATTTCAATGGGATGGTGAACAGGAGAGCATACGTCCCATTTTTCACTATTATTTTATTTAAAAAACATCTATATTTCAATTATAATTGTGTGTTATAAATAAAATATATAGAAAAAATCTTAAAGCATATTAATGTAGTATATAAAAGTGCTCATCCTTTAAGAATTTTTTAAAGGATATAAATGTGTTCATGCTTTAAGATATTTCTATATATTTAATAAATGCTTATAAAAGTTTAAAAGTGTTCACAGTTTTTAAAAAATACTCATGTAGTTATAAAAGGGTTCATGCTTTAAGAAATATATATTCACATGATGTAAAAAATACTCCCTCCATCCCAAAATAAGTGATTCAACTTTGTACTAACTTTAGTGCAAAGTTAGTACAAAGATGAGTCACTTATTTTGGAACGGAGGGACTAGTTGGTTTGGATTCGAACCAGCCATCACGTGCGTGTGGCCACCATCAGCGTTACTTTTCAGAAACTTACAAAATACATGTAAATTATAATATTGTATTATAAATTATATATATAATACATTATAAATCTATTCACGTATTATTACATAATTTATCCATATAATAAAATTATAATTAAAAAGTTATGCATGTAATAATTTTCATATTTAATAAAAATTAAAGGTAATTATTTGTATATATATATTTAAGTAAATGAATACATACTTAAAAGGTTCACGCTTTTAATAAAATAATTATGTAGTATATAAAAGTGTTCATTTTTAATTTAAAATTTATCATATTGATAACACACAATTATATACATATAATTTATAATTTACTTTAAAAAATTAGTGTAAAATGGGCTGTAGGGTCTCCGGCCATCTTAAGGCCTATGAGGAATGTTATAACTTATATACATTATGTATCCAGGTAAACAAAATGTTCTTCTCGGTACATATGTTATGCACGCCGCTCCATGTTGTAAGTCACGTGTTCGAATCTGAGCGGCCACTATTTTTGCAAATAATTTGTGGGTCACGCATCAAGGACCTTTTCTGGAGAGAAATGTTTTTTGAGGGGTTTTCCACAAAAAGTCTAGCCACACGACCTATCTCTATCGTTCAGAGTCTGACAGCGGGTGCCGTGCCATGTGGCGCGCCTAGTTGGCATCATCTCCGTATACAAACGTGATTTGCACCGTATATGCACGCCAAAGCCAAGTTATAGCACCAGTTATATGTATTCCACGAGTTTTGGCACTAAAGTGATTTTTCGCGTCAAGTTTGAGCACCAGCGGTGTAATTGACTCTTTTCTTAAACATCATTACCGACACAAACGCTCGTATATACGCGCATACACTCACCCCTATGAACGCACACACGCACACCCTACCCCTGTGACCACCTTCGAGAGACTGAGCTGGCATATCGTCTTGAGATTTTACGAAGTTAGCATATGCTCCTCGTAGTTGACGGGAACGTCTCCTCCCACTGAACGCGCATAGCCGGAAATGCTGAAATAAATTCAGGATAAATACGAGCACCATAACTTGAACCCTGATGTGACTTGAAACCTGATGGGCTGGCCATACCATTGTCCATCTAGCCATCCAACCATAGGTTGGTTCACTAAACCAACAACTACTAGTACCTATTGATCAGTGATTCGAGATATACCAAAATGTACTTGTGCAATTAGCCAATTAGTTGATCGTGCAATTTGAAGTTACCAGGCCATTTTAGTACTCCCTTTGATTCGGTGAACCACAAAAATGACGTTCAGACATTGTAGATGTTCAAGGGTCAAGACAGTGCAGGGATTTAATGGAGCCCAGTGAAGGTGAATATTATGTCTGTACTCCTCAGCCAACTTGTACCAGTTGCAAAACTGTCACATGGAGCAGTTTACATTAGATAGATGCCAATCCATTAAATTTAGTTTAGA